CGCGTCCTCATCAGAGACTGTGACCGTGACAGGAAGGAGCAGGCCAGCCCTGGCCGGTGTGGTTCAGCGGGCAGAGCGCCAGCCTGCTTGATTCCGGCCCAGGGCACGTCTGGTCGGGACGGGTGCGTGCAGAGGGCAGCCCATTTATGTGTCTCTCCCATCAGTGTTTCTCTCTGCCTCTCCCTCTCTCCCTGAAAATCAATGGGAAAATATCCTCGAGCAAGGATTAGCAACAACAACAAAAAAAGGAACAGCCCTGGCTGGTGTGGCTCAGTGGATAGAGTGTCGGGTTCTGGGTTCGATCTACTGAAGGGCAAAGGCCCAGGTTGCAGGCCCGATCCCCATAGGTGGTGTGCAGGAGGCAGCCGATCCATGATTCTCTCTCATCATGGGTGCTTCTTTCTCTCTCCCTTTCCCTCCTCTGGAATCAATCAAAACATATTTAGAAAAAAAAATTCCTAAAATTCTCCCAGTAAAGGAGACCAGACAGAACAAAACCCTAACCGGTGTGGCTCAGTGCATAGAGAGTCAGCCTGCAGACTGAAGGGTCCCAGGTTCGATTCCGGTCAAGGGCATGTGCCTTGGTTGTGGGCACATCCCCAGTGCAGGGTGTGCAGGAGGCAGCTGATGGATGTATCTCTCTCATCTGTGTTTCTATTTCTTCCTCTCACTTCCTCTCTGTAAGAAATCAATAAAATATATGTTTAAAAAAAGGACAGGAGGGCTTGGGGGGCTCCACGCCGTCTCTATGGGGCGAGTGAAACGCCCGACGGGGAGCAGGCACCTGCCGAGGCCGCCCAGCAGCTTGGGGCTGGGAGAGGCGGCCGGACTGGGGTCCCGAAACCGGGGTGCTGGGCCGGGCGCTTGGAAGTGGCTGGAAAATACGAGGAAATCTGAAGGGTGTTTGTTAAGGAGCGACTCGGCCGCATTTTCACTGACAACATTTTTGAGTTTGGGTTTGTTTATAAACCGAGAGATCTTCCGTATTTTCCGGCAAATAAGGCAACCCCCTAATTTTTCAGTTAAAACATAGGTTTAGCCGAAGCCGGTTTGGCTCAGTGGTAGAGCATCGGTCTGCGGACTGAAAGGTCCCAGGTTCGATTCCGGTCGAGGGCATGGACCTTGGTTGTGGGCACATCCCCAGTGGGGGGTGTGCAGGAAGCAGCTGGTCGATGTTTCTCTCTCATCGACGTTTCTAAGCTCTCTATCTCTCTCCTTTTCTCTCTCTGTTAAAAATCAATAAAATATATTAAAAAACAAAAAAAGCATAGGTTTAGGCCTATATTCGCTGTATAAGACTACCCCCCCCCCCCTTTCAAAGAAAAGATCTGCAGGTAATTTTTGTGCAATTTTGGTCTTTTGCCCCCGATTTTCGGTTGACTTTTTTTTTGTTTCAAAGGTCATCTTATACGCCGGAAAATACGGGTATTCATTTATTTATTTATTTATTTTTAAATATATTTTATTGATTTTTTTACAGAGAGAAGGAGAGAGGGATAGAGAGCTAGAAACGTTGATGAAAGAGAAACATCAACCAGCTGCCTCTTGCACACCCCCCACCGGGGATGTGCCCGCAACCAATGTACATGCCCTTGACCGGAATCGAACCCGGGACCTTTCAGTCCGCAGACCGACGCTCTACCACTGAGCCAAACCGGTTTTGGCAAATACGGGTATTTATTGATTTATTATACTATATCTTTATTGATTTCAGAGAGGAAGGGAGAGGGAGATGGAGATAGAAATATCCATGATAGAGAGAATCATGGATCGGCTGCTTTCTGAATGCTCCTTATTAGAGATCAAGCCTGCACCCCGGGCATGTGCCCTGACCGGGAATCGAACCTGAGACCCTTTGGTCTGCAGGCTGACACTCTATCCTCTCAGCCACACCGGCCAGGGCTATTTATTGATTTGAGAGAGAGAAAGAGAGAAACATGGGTGTGTGAGAGGACCATCGACAGACTGCCTCCCACATAGCCCCAACCGGGAATCGAACCCTCCACCTCAGTCTGCAGGGATGATGCTCTAACCGGCTGAGCCGCCCGGCCAGGGCCCTCAGGCTCCTTTAAACCAACTTTCTCCAGGTTCCGTGTCCACATAGAAAACTCACCCCCGTCAAGCGGACACCCCGGGGAGCCTGTGGGAGTTCCGGGGGACGGACACACCCCCATCTTGACAGACTGGGTCTGCACCCCCAACGTGCCCCACCCCCCTCCTGGCCACCGGGCGGCTCAGTCTGTCCTGTTTCCTGTCCTCAGGCTTCATGGAGCTGAAACGGGCCTGTAGGTGTTTTGTTCTGGGGCCCTGAGCATGGGGCAGGTGGGCTTTGGGGTGCCGTGTGAGTTGCCAACTCCCCCCCCCCCTCGACCCCCTGCAGGGGAGCCAGGGGTCAGGAGTGCGGCCCCCCGTGTACAGGACACCCCCACCCCCAGCAGGAGGCAGGCGCTCCCTGCTCTGCGGGTGCTCTGGGCTCTCGGCTCCCCATTAGCACTGCCCTTTGGGGGCCCCCCTCTCCCTCCTCCCCTCGCACCAGCAGGCACTTCCGCTTCCTCCCTGCCCTTTCCCGGGGCGGCAGGAACTCCAGACCCTCTGCCCACAGCGCAGGAAGGCCGGCGCCCACAGGCCAGCTGATCGAAAGCAAAAAATGGGGAGGGGGGGTGTGGGTCGCCGCAGCCACCGTGGGGGGCTGACTGGAAGGAGGCGTTTATGACTCAATCCTAGAGTTCCCAGATGTCACCGCTGCCGGCTCTGCTGGCCTGGAGGGCCAGGGGGGCCGGGGGAGGTCCCCCGAGACCGCCCCTCCCCAGGAGGGGCCCCCAGGAAAGGCACCACCAGTGCTCCCGCCTGAAATGTGCCTTTGACTCTTTCCATGTTGTTGTTGATCCCCACCTGAGGCTATTTCTCCATTGATTTAAATATATATATATATTTTTTTATTGCCCTGGCCAGTGTGGCTCAGCGGACAGAGCATCACCTGCGGACTGAAGGGTCCCCGGTTCGACTCCAGTCAAGGGCACATGCCGGGTTGTGGGCTCCATCCCCCACGGGGGAGGGGGGGGTGTGCAGGAGGCAGCCGATCCGTGATCCTCTCTCATCACAGATGTAGTTTTAAAAAACTTTATTGATTTCAGAGAGGAAGGGAGAGGGAGAGAAACATTCAGGATGAGAGAGGATCACGGATCGGCTGCCTCCTGCACGCCCCCTGCAGGGGATGGAGCCCGCAACCCGGGCCCGTGCCCTGACCGGGACTCGAACCCTGACCTCCTGGTTCACAGGTTGTCGCGGCTGCGGGGCCTCGCCAGGCACTGCCATCGGAGACCACCGTTCTCCGCGTGGTGAGCTCAGCGTTCCCTCTCAGCTGCCGGGGACCCGGTTCCGCCTTCGCCTTGGGCAGTGGTCGGCAAACTGTGGCTCCCGAGCCACATGCGGCTCTCTGGCCCCTCGAGCGTGGCTCTTCCACAAAGTACCACATTCGGGCGCGCATGTACCGTGCGATCGAAACCTCGTGGCCCATGCGCAAAAGTCGGTGTTCGGCTCTCCAAAGAAATGTTGATATTGGGCTCTGTTAGCTAACGAGTTTGCCGGCCACCGGCCTTGGGGAGCGGAGAAGTTGCCTCAGCGGTGTCTCCCCTCGGTCTCGGTCTCGGTCTCGGTCACGGTCACGGTCACACACCCAGGACCGTGCTCCTGCAGCTCGGATCCCTCCAGCCGGGCGCCCGGGCCTCCTCTCCCACTCCGCAGCCCAGGGGACCCTCGTCCGTCATTGCTCTCTGCTCCCGGGCAGGGCAGCAGGCCGACTACTCCCTGATAGAAACATTAACGAGCCCTGGCCGGTGTGGCTCAGTGGATAGAGCAGCGGCCAGCGGCGGGTTCGATTCCCGGTCAGGGGCACAGTTCTGTTTCCCAGCCCTGCACACAGTGTGTTTGGAGGCAACCGACAGATGTGTCTGCCTCGCATCCATGTTTCTCTCTCTCCCTCTCTAAGGAAAAAAAAAAAAAAAAAAAAAAAAAAAGGAAAAATATCCTTGGGTGAGGAATAAAAAAAATAATAACATCGTCCCATAATTTGCTAATCCATTCATCTGGTGATGCACATAGGTTCTTCCCACCTTGTTTTTTGTGCTTTTTAAAAATATATATATATTTTATTGATTTTTCACAGAGAGGAAGAGAGAGGGATAGAGAGTTAGAAACATCGATGAGAGAGAAACATCGACCAGCTGCCTCTTGCACACCCCCCACTGGGGATGTGCCCGCAACCAAGGTCCATGCCCTTGACCGGAATCGAACCTGGGACCCTTGAGTCCACAGACCGACGCTCTATCCACTGAGTCACACCAGTTTTGGCTCCACCTTGTTTATTATTATTCTTATTATTATTTAATATATTTTATTGATTTTTTTGCCCCCCTCTCTCCCTCCCATACATACCCTCCCTCCCCAGATAATTATTATTATTGATTTTTGTTGTTGAGAATATTACCTATGTTCCCTCTTTCCCCCACGAGCCCCTTCCAGCCCAGTCCGGGCCTTCCCCAGGGCTGTTCTTGCCTCGTGCGTAATGGTACTTAACTTCTGCGCGTTTAAATGTGTCTGCGCCCCCGTTTCCCGTTATGTTTCCCGTTATCGGGGGCGCACACGCCCAGGCGTGGGATTGCCCGGCGGCGCGGTGGTTTCCGAAGGAACGATTCGGGGACTTGCCGCGTTTCCCCAGGGGCCGCGCGTGGGCCAGCCCCCCAGTCTCCGTGGGCCCCCCCCCCCTATCCCCAGCTGCAGCAGCCACAGGGCCGGATGGGGAAGTGGCAGCTGCTCTGAACTTTTCCTTTCCCCCCCGCCCCGCCCCGCACAGGGGCCGGGAGGGAGGGAGGAAGGGCTGGGCCTGGGGCTGGAGCAGAAATCCCAGCGCTGATGTCACCCCCGGGCCGGGCCTCCGCACTCAGTTCTGCTCCGCGCCCTGCGCTCAGGCCTCAGATCGTGGCCGTGGCCGTGGAGGGAGGATGGCCCACGGCGAGGGCTTGGGCTACGTGCAGGGCCTGGCCCGGGACTACCTGCGGCACGCGCTGCGGGGCCCGCGGCCCGAGGCCCGGCCCCTCGGACCCGGCCCTGCCGCCCGGGTGCGCCGGCTGCTGCGGGAGACGGCGGGAGCCGTGCAGCGGGACGCCGAGCGGGCGCTGCGGCCCTGCCTGGCCGGCCTGCCCGTGGCCTCCGCGGCCGCCGCCAGGGCCGTGTTCCTGGCCGTAGCGAGCAGCGAGTTCGAGGACGGCGTGGTCAACTGGGGCCGCCTGGTGACCGTGTTCGCCCTGGAGGGCATCCTGGCCAGGGAGCTGCTCCGCCAGCGGGGCGACCGGGAAGACCGGGACCTGGACCCGGAGCCGGGCCTGGACCTGGACGCGGACACCGCCGAGGAGATCTCGCGCTTCGTGGCCGAGTTCATCACCTCGCAGGCGGGGGACTGGATCAGGCAGAACGGCGGCTGGGTAAGCAGGCTCCTCGCCCTTCACACGCTTTCCTGGCCCATTGGAAGTGTGTATGCACGCCCTGGCCCGTGTGGCTCAGTGGATAGAACGCCGGCCTGCGGGACCGAAGGGTCCCGGGTTCGATCGCAGTCAAGGGCACCTGCCCCCGGTGCAGGCTCCTCCCTGACGGGCCCTGGATGGGGCTCGAGCAGAAGACAGCCCATCCATGCGTCTCTCTCACATCCATGCTCCTCTCTGTCTCCCTCTCTTGAACTCTCCCTAAAAAAGTCAATGGGGATTGGTAAGGTATATACACATCTAATACCTTAGTTTAAAAAAAATGAGGAAAAAAAATCGATGGGGAAATATCCTCGAGTGAGGATTAACAAAAAATAATAATTAAAAATAATCATAAAGGCCACAATCCTTGGAAAAGAAGAAAGTGCCGAAACCGGTGTGGCTCAGTGGATAGAGCGTTGGTCTGCGGACTGAAAGGTCCCGGATTCGATTCCGGTCAAGGGCATGTGTCTTGGTTGCGGGCACATCCCCAGTAGGGGGCGTGCAAGAGGCAGCTGGTCGATGATTCTCTATCATCGATGTTTCTAACTCTCTCTCTCTCTTTCTTCCTCTCTGTACAAGATCAATAAAATATTTTTTTTTTTTAAAAAGAAAGAAAGAAAGAGTGTATACACGCACCGGGCGCCGCAGTAGGTGCCCGCCCTTGCAGCTCCGTCGCTGTGTGTTCCCTTTCGGAGGTCATTCATAATGAAATTAATAATGAAGGGAAGGCCAAAACCGGTGTAGCTCAGTGGATAGAGCGTCGGCCTGCGGACTGAAAGGTCCCAGGTTCGATTCCGGTCAAGGGCATGGACCTTGGTTGCGGGCACATCCCCAGTACGGGGTGTGCAGGAGGCAGCTGGTCGATGTTTCTCTCTCGTCGATGTTTCTAACTCTCTATCTCTCTCTCTTCCTCTCTGTAAAAAAAATCAATAAAATATATTTATTAAAAAAAATAATGAAGGGAAGGGTGTCTACATTTCTCGGGGGGTGGCACCCCGTATGTAGGGATTGTGGTTGCAAATCCGCTCTGCCCGTCGGCAGTGGCGGGCAGCCTGCCCGGGCTCCGCGGCGGCTGCGGTTGTCATGGCAACGGACGCTTTTCGCCCAAGCGTGGGTCTGAGACGCTGTTACGTCTTCTCGCGTGTCCTTGCGAGATCTCCAAGGGCCGGTCCCTGCAAGTCGGTGGCCCCCAAGGTCATTTCCGCCCGGCCTGCTAAACGCTGCCAGGTTCGGGCTGGGAACCCGGATGACGGGGGGAGGAACGAGCCGCAGGGACGCGCTTCCGGGATTCCCAGACGGGGAGTCCGCGGCGCTGCTGTCAGGGGCCCGCGGGGGGCGGGACTCCGCTGGGGATCCTGTGCCCGGCCTGTCCCGCGGGGGTCTGCTTTTCCTCCCTATCCCACGCCCCATGCTTCGCTTTTTAAAAACACTGTGTTGCCCTGACCGGTGTGGCTCAGTGGATAGAGCATCAGCCTGTGGACTGAGGGGTCCCGGGTTTGATTCCGGTCAAAGGCTTGTACCTTGGTTGTGGGCACATCCCCAGTAGGAGGCGTGCAGGAGGCAGCTGATGGGTGATTCTAACTACCCCTTTCCCTTCCTCTCTGTACAAAATCAATAAAATATATTAAAAAAACAACAACACTCTGACCCCAGGCGGCCTCTCCCCAGAGGTACCCCTGCTACCAGCTATTTTAATGCAAAACACAGCTGTGACTACAGCCATAGGAAGTGCCCATCCTGCATCTTTTTTTATTTTATTTATTTTTTAATATATTGATTTTTTTTACAGAGAGGAAGAGAGAGGGATAGAGAGTTAGAAACATCGATGAGAGAGAATCATCGACCAGCTGCCTCTTGCACACCCCCCTACTGGGGATGTGCCCGCAACCAAGGTATGTGCCCTTGACCGGAATCGAACCTGGGACCTTTTAGTCCGCAGATGGACGCTCTACCACTGAGCCACACCGGTTTCTGCTAAAAATATATTTTATTGATTTTGTACAGAGAGGAAGGGAAAGGGGTAGTTAGAGACATCAACCAGCTGCCTCCTGCACACCTCCCACTGGGAATGTGCCCACAACCCAGGTCCATGCCCTTGACCAGAAATCAAACCTGGGACCCCTCAGCCCGCAGGCGGACGCTCTATCCACTGAGCCGCACCGGGTTTCGGTTCATGAACGTTTTGAAACTGGGTGTGACCTTTGCATGTTGGAGGCTTAACCACCCCCACCACCCGCAGCCCTCCCCCTTCAACTGACCTTTCCTTCCTGAAATTCCTCTGACTCAGCAGGCCCAGCCCGGCCTGGGGCTGGGGCGGCGTGGGAGATCCTGTCAGTGACGTCCTGGGTGTGGGCAGCCAGAGGAAGGAGGGGGAAGAGGAGGGAGGCTTCCGCTGTGGGTGTAGTTTTAGTTTCAAGCGAAGGCAGACATTGGGCGGATGGCTCAGAGGCCCCCAATCCCCCCGTGAGCCTGGACTGGGACTGAGTCACCAATACGTCAAGTATCTGCAGCAGAGACAAGAGATGAATAGTATTTGAATTACTAGGGGCCACTGAAACCGGTTTGGCTCAGTGGATAGAGCGTCTGAAAGGTCCCAGGTTCGATTCCCGTCAAGGGCACAGACCTTGGTTGCGGGCACATCCCCAATAGGGGGTGTGCAAGAGGCAGCTGATGGATGATTTCTCTCATTGATGTTTCTAACTCTATCTATCCTTCTCTCTTCCTCTTTGTAAAAAATAATCAATAAGATACATTTTATATATATATATATATAGATAGATATATAGATAGATATATAGATATATATGTATGTATATTGATTTTGTACAGAGAGGAAGGGAGAGAGATAGAGAGTTAGAAACATTGGTGAGAATCATCCATCAGTTGCCTCTTGCACACCCCCCACTAGGGATGTGCCCGCAACCAAGGTACATGCCCTTGACCAGAATCGAACCCGGGACCCTTCAGTCCCCAAGCCGACTCTCTATCCATTGAGCCAAACCAGTTTTGGCACACTTTTAAAAAAAAATTTTTAAAAACACACACAGAAAAATTAGAGGGCCATGTGCACCCAAAGGGCCCCTCAGCCTGGCCTGCATTCTCTCTCCATCTGGGACCCCTCGGGGGATGTCTGGTGCCCGTTGGTCAGCTGAGTGGCACTCCCGCTGTGGGAGTGCAATGACCACCAGGGGACAGCTCCCGCGTTGAGCGTCTGCCCCCTGGTGGTCAGTGTGCATTATAGCGACCGGTCAAATGGTCAACCGGTCTACTGATCATTTAGGGTTTTATATATAAGATGTAACCCAGTGGATACAGCGTCGGTCTGCAGACCGAAAGATCCCAGGTTTGATTCCGGTCACGGGCATGTACCTTGGTTGCGGGCACATCCCCAGTAGGGGGTGTGCAGGAGGCAGCTGATCAATGTTTCTCTCTCATCCATGTTTCTAGCTCTCTGTTCCTCTCTCCCTTCCTCTCTGTAAAAAATCAATAAAATATATTTTTTTTAAAAAGATGTAACCTCGTAGCAATGAATGCTGGGAGCTCCTGGAACTCTTGATCAGTGGAGGGGAGGGAACTGTCCGGGGAATTTTTATTTATTTTTTTATTTTTTATTTTTTTAAATATATTTTATTGACTTTATACAGAGAGGAAGGGAGAGAGATAGAGTTAGAAACATCGATGAGAGTCATCGATCAGCTGCCTCTTGCACACCCCCTACTGGGGATATGGCCGCAACCAAGGTACATGCCCTTGACCGGAATCGAACCCGGGACCCTTCAGTCCCCAAGCCGACGCTCTATCCATTGAGCCAAACCGGTCCCGGCTGTCCGGAGAATTTTTAGAAATGAACTCACCTTCCCGGGAGGCACAGGGGACAGGGGGAGCCTCCACACACGTAAGGACACACATGTGCTCACACATGCACGCCGGGCCGTCACACAGCCCTTGGGTTGCTTCCAGCTCCCCACGTGACACCTGCAGGAGGTGGGTCTGAGCCGGGGTGGACACATCTGGCGGGAGGGCATTTCAAGGTAGCCCCGGCCTTCCTTCTGGGCTCCCCTGAGTTCCCGCTCTGTGCATGGGAGGCCCGGCCGCTCGGAGTCAGGACGCTAGCTGGCGAAAGGGCAAAGGGCACCTTCTCACGGCGCCTGGGACAGACATGCTAGAATGAATGAACTTGACCTTGAGTGACTCACTTCCGGGGACGGCACAGCCCGTGCCTGCGTGTCGAGGCCCCTCCTGGGAAGCGGGCGGACCCGGTTCCTTTCCGGGGGCACCTGACAGGTTGTGTAACTTCTCAGCCGCGGGGCCTCCGCTGGAGGCACCCCATTAACTGCTGTAGGGGGAGCACCCTGAACCAGTTCCACAGAGTTCTCAGCCCTCGCTGTTACTGTTATTAACGGTAGGATCGCCGAAACCGGTGTGGCTCAGTGGATAGAGCGTCGGCCTGCGGACTGGAAGGTCCCAGGTTTGATTCCGGTCAAGGGCATGGACCTTGGTTGCGGGCACATCCCCAGTAGGGGGTGTGCAGGAGGCAGCTGATCAATGATTCTCTTTCATCAATGTTCCAAACTCTCTATCCCTCTCTCTTCCTCTCTGTAAAAAATCAATAAAATATATATATTTTTTTTAAATGTGGCTCTCCAAAGAAATTTCAGTCGTTGTGCTGTTGGTATTTGGCTCTGTGGTCGAATGAGTTTGCCGACACTGCTAAGTTCCCTGAACAAATAGACGGATTCCCGATAATTATATGACCAATTACAGATGGCAGTTAGCTGCCATCTAAACCAGATTCCCTGAGAGGGGGAGAGAGGGAGGGAGGGAGAGAAGACCAGTGAGTATCAGTAATGGGATTTATGAGCTCCTGCTTTATTCTCTTTCTCTTTTTTTAAATGGGTTGCAGGCTCCATACCTAGTAGGGGCTGTGCAGGAGGCAGCCAATCAATGATTCTCTGTCATCATCGATGTTTCTCTCTCCCTCTCCCTTCCCCTCTTAAATCAATAAAAAAAATATCTATACTAATAAAAGGGCAATATGCTAATTAAACCAGATTGACCTACTTCCTTGGGGACAAAGCCATGGTGGTGAGGGCCAAGGCATAGGCAGTTGGAGGCGAGATCAGGCCTGCAGGGGAGGGAGGGCATTTAGGGGCGGTCAGGCCGGCAAGCAGAAGGGTTAGGAGCGATCAGGCCGGCAGGCAGAGGGGTTAGGGGCGATCAGGCCGGCAGGCAGAGGGTTAGGGGCGAGCAGGCTGGCAGGCAGAACGGTTAGGGGCGATCAGGCAGGCAGGCAGTTGGTTAGGAACAAATTGTCCCGGATTGCCAGAGGGATGTCCAACTGCCAGCTTAGGCCTGATCCCTGTGGAGACGGTGCAGGCCGGACTGAGGAACGCCCTGTGTGTACGGATTTCGTGCACCAGGCCCCTAGTTTAAAATAAATAAAACATGGTTACTGAGAAATCAGAATTAGAACCACAGACGCTGCTCCCTGAAGGTGCTGCCGAGGTGAGAGCCCAGAGAGACGAGCCCTCTGCCACACCGCGGTGACACGTCCCCCGCTTCTCCCCCTTCCCCGGCACTCGGCGTTCCCCGATCGTGTTCTAAAACGGTGCCCTCTCTCCTCTCCCAGGAACACGGCTTCGTGCAGAAGTTCGAGCCCCGGCCGGGCTGGCCGGCCTTCCTGGGGGCGACAGCCAAGGTCCTGCTGTGCCTGCTGAGGCACCTGCCCTGACCATGGGGACCGGAATTGGGAAACGGGGACTCTTGCGAGAGGCATTGCCGACGCTCACGTCTCCTCCTCCTTCTGAGCAAACAGCCCTCGTGGTGCAACCGGAGAGCACGGACTCTCTGCCCCCTTTCCATAAGGTGACCAGATTTTCACGTTGGTTAAGAGGGACACCATTGACTGGGGTGGGGGTGGGGGTGGGGGTTCTTGATTCAAAATTTGGTCTATATGGAACAACAAACATTTTCATAGAACACAAAAATAGTATTGTAATATATTTTTTTAATATTTCAACATAAGTACAGTTTACAAATATAATAAATAAAAATGATGTATAGTATTATTTTACTCTTTGGCATATTTCTCATTTGAGTGAATTTTTTTTTTTTAGTAGATTGCTGTCGTTGTTTAAAAGGTCACGAAATTGCCGAAACCGGTTTGGCGCAGTGGATAGAGCGTCGGCCTGCGGACTGGAAGGTCCCAGGTTCGATTCCGGTCAAGGGCATGTGCCTTGGTTGTGGGCACATCCCCAGTGGGGGGTGTGCAGAGGCAACTGATCGATGTTTCTCTGTCATCGATGTTTCTAACTCTCCATCCCTCTCCATTCCTCTCTGTAAAAAAATCAATAAAATATATATTTTTTAAAAAGGTCATGAAACGTTTCACAAGAATTTGTTAAGTTATATTTCACACATAAAATGACTTTCAACGTCTCAACACTGAATTGTGATTTTTCTGACGCTCACACTTTATTTACCGTAGAAAAAACGCTTTCGGTCGCAGCATTAGTTCCCGGTAAGGACAGAATGTATTCCACAATTCTAACCACTGATCAACAATGCGAACTTTGATAAGCAGTTCTCGATAATCAGTTCTCAACAATTATTTGTTATTAATAAAGTTTAACATTACAAAGATAACAAAAATAGAGAAGCAGGGAGAGGGACCGAGAGCTAGAAACATCGATGAGAGGGAGACATCAACCAGCTGCCTCCTGTACATGCCCCACTGAGGACGTGCCCACAACCAAGGTACGTGCCCTTGACCGGAATCGAACCCGGGACCTTTCAGTCCACAGACCGACGCTCTATCCACTGAGCCACACCGGTTTCGGCAAAATCGGGACTTTTTTAAAACGCCATGGGACGTGGGACAAATGGTTAAAAATCGGGATGTCTGGTCACCTTACATTTCCACCAATAAATCACATGTACGTGCCTCTTCGTCCTCCTGCCTGGGAGCCCAGCAGAGGGCTGCCCGCCCTCGGTCCTGGGGACAGCTCACCCTAAGGGATGAGGAAGAGGAAGGTGAGTCTTTGTGACGGGCATGGCCGGGACCCAAAGCCCTTTTCCGTGTCACTGACCCGCATTGCATGGTGGGTGTCCGCTGCCACTTCACGGGGCCCTGTATTGGGTCCGTCCCGGTGCCCTGGGGTGCTGAGATTTTCCTATGGGTGCCTTCCCCCAGCCGGCACTCCTAGGCCCTTTGGAAGTGATGGAGATGGCAACCGGGACACCGTGGGATCCTTAGGACAAAGGGAGGTCCCAGGCTCAGTGTCATGCCATCGGTAAACCTCCCATTAAAAGATTTCACAGCCTGGCCGGTGTGGCTCAGTGGATAGAGCGCCGGCCTGCGAACTGAAAGGTCCCAGGTTCGATTCCGGTCAGGGCACATGCCTGGATTGCTCAGTCCCCAGTGTGGGGCGTGCAGAAGGCAGCCGATCCGTGATTCTCTCTCATCATGGATGTTTCTATCTCTCTCTCTCCCTCTCCCTTCCTCTCTGACATCAATACAAATATATTAAAACAGATTTTTTTCACAAGTTAGAAAACTGCCTTTTGTTAGGCTCTGGTTTTTATTTTTTATTTACTAATTTATTTATTTATTTATTTATTATATACTTTATTGATTTTTTACAAAGAGGAAGGGAGAGGTATTGATGAGTTAGAAATATTGATGAGAGACACATTGATCAGCTGCCTCCTGCACACCCCCCACTGGGGATGTGCCCGCAACCAAAGTACATGCCCTTGACCGGAATCGAACCCGGGACCCTTCAGTCTGCAGGCCGATGCTCTATCCACTGAGCCACACCGGTTAGGACTGTGCTCCAACTTTTAAAAATATAATTTTTGTTGATTTTACAGAGGAAGGGAGAGGGAGAGAGACACATCGATGATGAGAGAGGATCCTGGATCGGCTGCCTCCTGCATGCTCCCCACTGGGGTTAGAGCACCCAACCTGGGCGTGTGCCCTGACCGGGAATCGAACCCTGACCTCCTGGGTCCTAGGTCAAAGCTCAAGCATGGAGCCACGCCAGCCGGGCAAGGTCAGCAAATTTTTCTTTAAAATATATTTTATTGATTTTTTTACAGAGAGGAAGGGAGAGAGATAGAGAACTAGAAACGTCGATGACAGAAAAACATCGACCAGCTGCCTCCTGCACACCCCCAACCGGGGATGTGCCCGCAACCAAGGTCCATGCCCTTGACCGGAATCGAACCTGGGACCTTTCAGTCCGCAGACCGACCGACGCTCTATCCACTGAGCCACACCGGTTTCGGCATCAAATTTGATTGCAACATGAGTGCTCTGTACCTCCCTCTACACCTTCCCACTCCACCTCCTCCTCTTCCTCCCACCTCAGGGTCTCCACCGCTTGGGTTTGAGTTGCCTCTGCTTGGATGTTATAGGCGGATCCCCATTTTCCTCTGGAGGAAACAGGCTTACAGGCAGAAAGTCTGGGATCCAAGGTCATGGGGTCCTCGGGGCCAGAGCGGCCTCTCTCGGCCCCGCTTCCTCCCGGTCAGATGGGACCGCCGGGTCCTCGGTCCTCCCACCCCTGGCAGGAGCCGGAGCTGCCGGCCAAGGTCAGCCGGGTGACCTGGCTGCCCACCCACAGGGCGTGTCGTCAGCACCCGTGACTGTCCCGTGTCTTCCCCGTGGCATCGCCCGACTTAAAGCCAGCCGGTGGCCACTGTTTTGAATCTGGAAACTTCTACCGCACGGTGAGAGCTGCTGACAGGAGAGGGCTGCTTTGTATAATTCCGTATGGAAATAAACCCCTTGCTTTATTATTATTTTTAAATCTATTTTTTATTTATTTCTGAGAGGAAGGGAGAGGGAGAGGAACATCCGAAGGGGATGATTCTTGATGCCTGCGATCCCGCTGCTTTGTGTTAAGAGCGGTGCCCGGAACAGGACCGTCATCCATTTGAAAACAGGCCCTGACAAATTATGCATTTCTGAAGATTCTTTCATTTTTTTCATTTTTTTATTTTTTAAGATATTTTATTGATTTTTTTTTTTACAGAGAGGAGGAGAGAGGGATAGAGAGCTAGAAACGTCAATGAAGAGAAACATCGACCAGCTGCCTCTTGCATACCCCCTACCAGGGATATGCCTGCAACCAACGTATGTGCATATGACCGGAATTGAACCTGGGACCTTTCAGTCCGCAGACCGACGCTCTATCCACTGAGCCAAACCAGTTCCAGCTGAAGATTCTTTTAAATTTCAAAAATGAAGTATACGTTAATAAATGCTGGCTTTATCACCATTCAAAGCGTGTATACACTTTTTTTTTTGGGGGGGGGGGGACACCCTGTCTATGCTAATAAAAGAATAATATGCTAATGAGACGACATCTTTTGGACAAAGCCACGGTCAGGGGGGCCGAGGCAGAGATGGTTAGGCCAGCAGGGGAGGGCAGTTAGGGGCGATCAGGCCGGCAGGGGAGGGCAGTTAGGGGTGATCAGGCCGGTAGGGGAGAGCAGTTAGGGGCGATCAGGCCGGCAGGGGAGAGCAGTTAGGGGCGATCAAGCCAGCAGGGGAGAGCAGTTAGGGGCGATCAGGCAGGCAGGGGAGAGCAGTTAGGGGCGATCAGGCAGGCAGGGGAAAGCAGTTAGGGGCGATCAGGCCGGGGCAGGGGAGAGCTGTTAGGGGCGATCAGGCCGGCAGGGGAGAGCAGTTAGGAGGATTAGGCTGGCAGCAGAGGTGATTATCGGCGATCAGGAAGGCAGAGGTTCCAGATTGGAGAGGTTGCAGGCTGAGCTGAGGGATGCTTCCCTCACCTCGTCGTGCATTAATGTTGTGCATGGGGCCTCCAGTATTTGTACAAAGTTATTTTTGTCTTTAGCTTTATGGCATTTCGTCAAAATACTCAGTCCAAAGTTACTCAAGCTCTCCGCCCACTTGGTTGTGGTTATGTTAATCATTTGCAATGCAGTTCACTTTGTCCCTGTTGCATCCTGGCTCCCTCCTCTTCCCTTACTCCACCTCCACGCACACCCCAGTTGTATGCACGTCTGTCTGTGAAACATGACCGTGGTCCTAGCAGAGCTATGCAGAAACCAGGAGCAGGAGAGAAATGTCAGTTTCTCCTCCTCGCTGCTACTCCCCGCCGGTTCCCCATTCCACCCTTCTCGCACCCGTTCCCGCCCAGGCGCCCACACTCAATCAGGCGCTGGCTTATACACATAGTGCATCTTCCCCGAAAATGAGTGGAAACATTTATGTTTTCTTTCATGCCTTTTTATTTTATGGAGATACCATTTGCATGGAATTCACCCTTTTATCTTTTTTAAAAATCTATATTTCTTTTTTGAATATGTTTTATTGATTTTTTAAAATTTTATTTATTTATTTATTTATTTATTTTTTACAGAGAGGAAGGGAGAGGGATAGAGAGTTAGAAACATCGATGAGAGAGAAGCATCGACCAGCTGCCTCCTGCAAAGCCCCCCACTGGGGATGTGCCTGCAACCAAGGTACATTCCCTTGACCGGAATCGAACCTGGGACCTTTCAGTCCTCAGGCCGATGCTCTATCCACTGAGCCAAACCAGTTTCAGCTCTTTTTTCTTTAAAAAAAAAAAAAAATATATATATATATATATATATATATATATATATATATATATATATATATATATATATATATATATTATTGATTTTTCACAGAGAGGAAGGGAGAGGGATAGAGAGCTAGAAACATGGATGAGAGAGAAACATCGACCAGCTGCCTCCTGCAAACCCCCCACCGGGGATGTGCCCACAACCAATGCACATGCCCTTGACCGGAATCGAACCCGGGACCCTTCAGTCCACAGACCGACGCTCTATCCACTGAGCCACACCGGTTTCGGCAATACATATTTATTGATGTCTGAGAGGAAGGGAGAGGAAGAGAAACATCTGTGATGAGAGAGGATCATGGATCAGCTGCCTCCTGTGTGCCCCCTAGTGGGGATCGAGCCCGCAAACCGGAGGTGTGCCCTTGACTGGGAATCAAACCCGGGACCCTTCAGTCCGCAGGCCCACCCTCTATGCACTGAGCCAAACGGTAGGGGCGGAACTGACCCTTTTAAAACATACAATTCCGTGCTTGTTAGCATGGTCAGCATGGCACCACTGGCACCGCAGTTGAATTTTGGGACGTGGTCATCATCCCCAAAGGAAATCCCTACTCTAGTGTCCTCAGCCCCCCAGGCCGTGGCAGCCACTCAGCTGCTTTATGACCTGGGCCTTTCCTGTACGTGGGATCATAAAACACGAAACCCGTTTAGCCCAGTGGTAGAGCGTCTGTCTGCGGACTGAAGGGTCCCGGGTTCCATTCCGTTCAAGGCATGTAAGAGGTTGCGGGCACATCCCCAGTGAGGGGCGTGCAAGGGGCAGCTGGTCGGTGATTCTCTCTCATAGGTGTTTCTAGCTCTCTATCTCTCTCCCTTCCTCTCTGTAAAAAATCAATAAAAATACATTTTTTAAAAAAAACAAAACAAAAAAAACACGTGGCCCTTAGTGTCTAGCTTCTCTCACTTCGCTTACTATCTTCAAGGTCCATATCACATTTTACTTGCAGGGGGATGAGGGGTTTTCAATTTCTCTGCATCCTCTGCAGCCCCCCTGTCTGTTCTTGTTGTGTTTAAATTATAGCCATCCCCAGTGGAGGGGGGACGGGGGTGTGCAGGAGGCAGCTGATGATGTTTCTCTCTCATCAATGTTTCTAACTATCCTCCCTTCCTCTCTGTAAAAAAAATCAATAAAATATTTATATTTTTTAAGTTTTCATCCATTTCAAAAGGGAAGGGAGAGGGGTAGAGAGAAACATCAACGAGGAGAGAGTACCCCATGGACTGGCAGCCTCTTGCACGCCCCCTACTGGGGATCAAGCCCGCAACAGGGGCAGGCGCCCTGACCTGGAATCGAACTTTGACCTCCTGGGTCATAGGTCAGTGTTCAACCTCTGAGCCAGGCGGGCCAGGTCTCGCTTTTCTTGATTGCTTGTTTTCCACACAAACTTTAGTGAAGCGGATGTATAATATTTATTGACATGAAGCGTGGCCCGTTTTCTCTAAACTTGCAATTATCTTAAGAGTTTCATGTCCTGCTGAAACCGGTGTGGCTCAGTGGATAGAGCCTCGGCCTGCGGACTGAAAGGGCCCGGGTTCGATTCCGGCCAAGGGATGGACCTTGGTTGCGGGCACATCCCCAGAAGGGGGTGTGCAGGGGGCAGCTCATGTATGCTTCTCTCTCATCGATGTTTCTAACTATCCCTCTCTCTTCCTTCTCTGTAAAAAATCAATAAAAAATATATATATTTTTAAAAAGTTTCACGTCCTTACCCGTGGGGGGCTCCTCCCCCTTCCCTGGGGTTCCTGGGCGGCGCCCCGAGGGGCCTGATCTGACCTACAGGAGTCCGTCTCCCACCTGGAGGTCCCAGGAGGCGCCCACACCCCCCCGATCCAGGTGGAGGCCCCGCAGGGAGGGACGCCCGGTGCCTCCATGGTTTCCGCCAGCGCTCGGCTGCCATCGGAGGAGCGAACCCCGCTCGCCACCCCGCCGAGGGTCCCGGAGCCCGCCAGGAGCCCGGGTGGCCCGCGCAGGTCAGCTCTGCGGGGCGGGGCGGGGCGGGGCGGGGCGGGGCGGGGCGGGGCGGGGGCGGGGCGCTCGCAGCCCGGAAGCCGCCAGACCCTCCCGGACCTGCGGACCAGCGGCGCCGACAGAGCGAGAGGGCGGCCTGCACCCCCCCATGGCGGCGGCGGCTGTGAGCGGCGCCAAGCGGAGCCTGCGGGCCGAGCTGAAGCAGCGCCTGCGGGCCATCAGCGCCGAGGAGCGGCTGCGCCAGTCCCGCCTCCTGGCCCAGAAGGTGCGCGATCGCGGGGACGGCCGCGGCGGCAGCCCAGGTGGAGGTCCTCCTGGCCGCCGGCGCGGGTTTGCGGATCTGCGCAGGCGCAGGCGCAGGCGCGCGCATCCTCCCTCCCGTCTGCGCGCGTCCCCGAGCGCGCGTTCACCCGCAATGCGCACGCGCACGCGTGTTTCCCCGCCCCGGCTTGCGCACGTTTCCCCCTCGCCCCTCCCTCCGCCGCACTTCCGGCAACCGCGGCGTGCCTACGTCCCACGCACGACGTGCGTACGTCCCCTCCCTCCGGCGCGCTCACGTGCTTTGGAGCGCGTGAGGGCGCTGGAAGGCGCGAAGTCCCCGAGGGCGGAGTGGAGACGCCCTGGTCCCGGGAGGGAGGCGGACAGTCACCCCCGGGGGCGCCAGGCGTTCCCGCTGAGGTGCCTTCTGTCAGCGTTTGAGGTGCGGAACCCAGAGGAGGCGGGAGGGTCCCTCTGGGTGAAATGGCGGGAGAGTCGGGGCACCTGCAGAGGAGGAACGTGCCCTCGGGGTGCCGGCGCCCCGTGAGCGAATGGCCGCCCTGACTGAGCCTGTCAGCGGGTGACAGGACGTTTTCCGAGTGAATGAGAGAGAACATGGGTTCTCCCGCTGCCCGCGAAGGTGGGGAGCCACTGGGGTGACGGGGGAGAGAGCGGGGTTTCCTGTCTGGGGTTCCAAACCCGCCATTGGTTCCTCTCACCGCTGCCTCGAGATCCAGGGTACCCTCCCCCCCCCAAAATGGACACACATTTTTTTTTAATATATTTTATTGATTTTGTTCAGAGAGGAAGAGAGAGAGAGAGAAACATCGATGAGAGAGAGTCATCGATCAGCTGCCTCTTGCACGCCCCCCACCGGGGATGTGCCTGCAACCGAGGTACATGCCCCCGACCGGAATCGAACCCGGGGCCCTTCAGTCCCCAAGCCGACGCTCTATCCACTGAGCCACACCGGTTTCGGCTGGACACACATTTTGAGTGCTTACTAATCCCAATGGTTTAAGTGTGAAAAGAAAGAAACAGCAATGGAGCTGCCAGCTGTTCAAAGTGGGCATGCTTTTGGGGGGACACCCTATGTTCCAGGCTGTCGATGGGATTGGGGGTTGGTTCATCAGCAAGGAAAGCTCTTTCGGAAGGCGCTGGGGAATATACTGGAGGCCCGGTGCAAGGAAATGTGTGCAATTGCGGGGCGAGAGGGGTGCCCCTCAGCCTGGCCTGTGCCCTCTGGCACTGCAGTCCGGGACCCCTGGGGTAGGCCCCTCCCGGGACCTGCTGGCGTAGGCCCCTCCCCTGGGGGATCAGGCCTAAGCTGACAGTCAGACATCCCCCTGGCATCCTGAGCCCTCGGCAGGAGCAGGCCTAAGATCAATAAAAATATCCAGCCGAGGCTTCTGCCTTCAGCCTCTGCTCCTAGTAAGTGCCTTCTGTGTCCTCTTCCCACCCCCCAGCCCCGAGGGCCCCGCTTGGGTGAGACGGCCCCCCCGTCCCCGGTCACCTGGGGCCTGGCCTTGGCCGGCACGGCTGGGATTGTGCGGGCTCTTTTCTTGGGGACCCGTGGCTCCTGGGGCCTCGAGTCCTGCCTAGGGTGCTGCCCGCCCGCCTGCCCGTCTCTCTGGAGCACAGCCCTCACGGGGCCCGGGCCGGATGGACTGTGCACGCTGGCCCCGCAGCCTAGCCGGCCCCCCTCCTGCTCTCCCAGCCCTGGCCCGGGGGCTCCCCCACCCCACACCCTCTGACTGAGCTTTGCATGTTCCACTAACCGGGTGGGCGGTGGGGGAGGGGCCAGGCTTCCGGCTGCCTCCGGGCAGAACACTAACCTGACCACGGGCGGGCCAGCGGCGCCCACCCCAATAAAAGCAATTCCACCTCCTGCAAAAAAAAAAAAAAAAAAAAAAAATATCCAGCCGAGACCGGTTTGACTTAATGGATGGAGCATCGGTCTGCGGACTAAAAGGTCCCGGGTTCGATTCTAGTCAAGGGCATGTACATTGGTTGTGGGCACATCCCCGGTGGGAGGTGTGCAGGAGGCAGCTGGTCGATGTATCTCTCTCATAGATGTTTCTAGCTCTCTATCCCTTTTCCTTCCTCTCTGTAAAAAAATCAATAAAATATATTTTTATGTATTTATTTATTTTAATATATTTTAATTGATTTTACACAGAGAAGAATTGAGAGGGATAGAGAGTTAGAAACATCCATGAGAGAGAAACATCGACCAGCTGCCTTCTTGCACACCCCCCCACTGGGGACGTGCCCGCAACCAAGGTACATGCCCTTGACCGGAATCGAACCCAGGACCTTTCAGTCCGCAGTCAGACGCTCTATCCACTGAGCCAAACCGGTTTGGCAATAAAATATATTTTTTTAAAAGTAAACGTATTCTGGCAGCCGGGCCCAGAGCAGCCGAGTCAGGTGCAGCCAGGCCCGGAGCAGCGGCTGCCAGGCTGGGAGCGGCCAGGCCCGGGGGAGCAGCCGGGTCGGGTGCGGCCAGGCCCGGAGCAGCGGCTGCCAGGCTGGGAGCGGCCAGGCCCGGGGGAGCAGCCGGGTCGGGAGCGGCCAGGCCCGGAGCAGCAGCAGCCAAGTCCAGAGCAACTAGGTCGGGAGCGGCAGTGACCAGACCCGGAGCAGCTGGTTGTGGAACGAGCCAGAGCAACAGGTGCCAGGCCCTGAGCAGCCAGGCCCGGAACAGCTCGCTCTTCGCCTGCCCCTGCCCCACGGCTGCTTCTCAGACATGGCTGGAAACTTTCGTGGGAACTTGAGGGGCTGCTGAATCAAGTGATGAAGGCTTAGATCTGGATGTGTTGAGTTAGTATAGGGCTGGGGTGTTGATCTGTGAGTGCCTTGGGTGGGGCCTGGATGAGGCTGGTGGACCTATTGGGAAATGTCTTTTGGGTGAAGTGTATCATTGGGCATGTGGAGGTATTATTGATTTGAGAAAATGCTAAGTAACTGATTTACTATCTGAAAAGGGATTTACTATTGGGGAAAGGGAGGGAAGAAGAGACTGAACATAAACTGCACGTATGGATGAGGACAATGGGGGATGGGGAGGGGGCGGAGTGGGGTGGGAACCTGGTGGAGGGGGGAAGAAATGAGGAACCTTTGTAATAATATGAACAATAAAGATTGATTTTATAAAAAAAAATAATAATAAATAAATAAATAAATAAAAAAGTAAACGTATTCTATCTAATTTTTTAAAAAAGAGTAATTTGCAAATTAACTATCACTTTGCTACACCCACCAGCCAATCAGGAGCGAGTATGCAAATTAACCCAACCAAGATGGTTGCAGCCATGGAGTGAGCAGGAGGCTTAGATGGACAGCTTTTGCGCTATGGAGGCAGAAGGGGCTCCCACCATCACTGCTGTACTGGCAGGTGTCAGTCTGGCTTGTGGCTGAATGGGAGCTTCTGCCTTGAGTGTCTGCCTCCTGGTAGTCAGTGCATGTCATAGCGACCGGTTGTTCCTTATTGTTCAACATTAGGGTCAATTTGCATATTATCCTTTTATTATATAGGACTGGAGGCCCAGTGCATGAAATTCATGCACAGGTAGGGTCCCTAGGCCTGGCTGATGATTAGGACTGATCAGGTTCTCCTCCCTCCCTCCTCCCCGCCTTCTCCTTCCCTCACTTGCTCAGCACCCCACTGCTGCTGGTTGCCTGTTATGATCCATGCCGCCCCCTGGTGGTCAGCACACATCATAGTGGGCAATCAAATTCCTGTTCTCCCGGTCAAACTCCAGAGGGAACACTTTGCATATTAGCCTTTTATGTATATAGATAAAGGCCTGATGCTCAGGTCGGGGCCAGCTGGTTTGCCCCGAAGAGTGTCCTGGGTCAGGGTGAGAGTTTCCTTAGGGTGTGAGGTGGCCTGGGTGAGGGGCCTGTTGTTGTTTGCAGGCTGGCCACGCCCCCCAACTGGAGGCCCTGGGATCTGGGATTTATTTATCTTCTATTAATTGAAATTTTGTCGCCTTGAGCCGAGGCCTGGGCCAGCCAGGATGTGTGGAAAGCTTGGCTTCCTCCATCGCCAGGGAAACCCAAGCCTCCTGCTTGCTCAGTGGGCGCAGCCATTTTTGTTGGGATTTATTTATCTTCTATAATTGAAACTTTGTAGCCTTGAGTGGAGGCCTGGCCAGTCTGGAAGTTTGGCTTCCTCCATCGCCAGGGAAACTCAAGCCTCCTGCTCACTTTGGGATTCCCTGAGAGGGATGGACGCTGCCTGCCCTACATCCATCGTGTTCTCTGAGTGCTGTGATCTGCTGTTGTTATGTGTGTAAACTCTCTCCCATCCGCTGACTTATATAAACGAGTCAGATCTCTCTTCTCTTGTTCTCAGTGTTGTAATTTTTGTGTGTGTGTGTATGTGTTTTTTTAAAATTATTATCTGTGTACATATTTTAACATTGACCGCCCCCTCCCATACATACCCTCCCTCCCCAGAGTTTTGTGTCCATTGGTTGTGCTTATATGCATGTATACAAGTCCTTTGGTTGATCTCTTATCTCCCCCAGATCTCCCTAACAGTGTTGTAATGGTTTTTTTACTGTGGACTCAAGAGTCCCAGGTTCGATTCCCGTCAAGGGCATGTACCTTGTTTGCAGGCACATCTCCAGTGGAGGCAGCTGATTGATGTTTCTCTCTCTGTATGTTTCTAACTCTCTCTCCCTCTCCCTTCCTCTCTGACATCAATAAATATATATATTTTAGCCGTGACTGGTTTGGCTAAGTAAATGTAGGGTTGGCCTGCAGACTGAAGGGTCCCAGGTTCGATTCTGGTCAAGGGCATGTACCTTGGTTGCGAACACTTCCCCAGTAGGGGGTGTGCAGGAGTCAGCTGATTGATGTTTCTCTCTCATCGATGTTTCTAACTCTCCCTCTCCCTCTGTCTAACAAATCAATAATATATATAATATAATATAATATATATGTATATATATATATATATTGAGTTAATGTTCTTTTTTTAAAATTATTTTTTATTTTATTGATTTTGCACAGAGAGGAAGGGAGAGAGGTAGAGAGTTAGAAACATCAATGAGAGAGAAACATCGATCAGCTGCCTCTTGCACACCCCTTACTGGGGATGTGCCCGCAACCAAGGTACATGCCCTTGACCGGAATCGAACCCGGGACCCTTCAGTCCCCAAGCCGACGCTCTATCCATTGAGCCAAACCGGTTTTGGCAAAATATATATATTTTTTTTTAAAAAAAGAAATTGAAGAGAGCGGGGGTGGGGGGAATGTTGACACTGTTCAGGGGAGTCCCTGATTTTTTGAAAGCGTAACCTTGGCCAATGTCACGCCATGCTTTCCCACGCAGGTGATCGCCCACAGCCAGTATCAGAAGGCCCAGAGGATCTCCATCTTCCTGAGCATGCCCGACGAGATCGAGACCGACGAGATCATCAAGGACATTTTCCGCCGCGGCAAGACCTGCTTTATCCCCCGGTACCAGTTCGAGAGCAGACACATGGACATGGTGCGGTTAGCGTCGCCCGAGGAGATCGCTTCGCTCCCCAGAACATCCTGGAATATCCCTCAGCCCGGCGAGGACGAGGCTCGGGAGGAGGCCTTGGCGACAGGTGAGCGCGCGGTGCCAGGATGGACATCCTAGGTGCTGGGAGACTGTGAGGAGTTTTTCTTATTTATTTTTTTAAAATTATGTTCAATTTCTTTTGAATTCTAAATATTCTTTTTTCCCCCATTTTTTTATTAAATTATTATCTGTGTACATATTTTTAACATTGCCCCCCTCCCATGCATACCCTCCCTCCCCAGATTTTTTGTCCATTGGTTGTGCTTATATGCATGTATACAATTCCTTCGGTTGATCTCTTATCACCCGCAGATCTCCCTCCCCTCCCCGCTGTCATTTGACAGTCTGCTTGTTGCTTTACTGTCTCTATATCTATCTCTTGGTTCATCAGTTTATAATGTTCTTTATTATCCATAAATGAGTGAGGTCCTATGGTGTTTTTCTCTCTCATCGACTGGCTTATTTCACTCAGCATGATGTTCTCCAGCTCCAGCCAGGTTGCTGCCAATGATGAGAATGCCTTCTTTTTTATGGCAGCGTAGTATTCCTTGGTGTAGATGTACCATAGTTTTTTGATCCAATCATCTGCTAACGGGCACCTAGGCTGTTTCCAAATCCTAGCTATTGTTTTTTTTTACAGAGAGAAAGGGAGAGGGAGAGAGGAAAACACTGATCGGCTGCCTCCTGCACACCTCCTACTGGGGATGTGTCCGCAACCAAGGTACATGCCCTTGACCGGAATCGAACCTGGGACCCTTCAGTCCGCAGGCCGACGCTCTGTCCACTGAGCCATACTGCTTTTGGCCAACGCCTCACTCTTGACCTCCATGCATGTGTCCGGTTTCTCATGAAGGACGGCAGTGAGAAGAGGAAGGGGGAAGCAGATTTTTCCTCTCAGTGTAGTCGCACTTCCAGGTCTAAACATGAGCGCAGGCAGTCACGTACGGCCTTTAGCACGTCGTCTGGCACGTGTGAGCTGTTTGTGTAGCTATTATTAACTCTGAGCAAGGCACCGAGAATTATTCATCATGCAATCAACGCATTGCCTGCGGAGTGTGGTGCATTTTGATAATTTCCAGCAAACACGTCTGCGCATCCGCTTTGTGTCAGACACCTCGTTAGCTCGGGAAAAAGAGCGTCCAGACCTTCCCAGGGCCCAGCTGTCGCTGGGGAGACAGAAGAATGTGTACATAGAATAAGCATCCCCACTTCTAACATCTGTCAGATGCAAGTGTGAAATTAAAATGTACAGAATACTAGAGGCCCAGTGTGTGAAATTCGTGCAGGGGGGTTCCTTGGTCCAGCCTGCAGCCTCTCCAATCTGGGACCCCTTGGGGGATGTCCAACTGCTGGCTTAGGCCTGTGGGATCGGGCCTACATCGGCAGTCGGACATCCCTCTCGCAATTCGGGACTGCTGGCTCCTAACAGCTCACCTGCCTGCCTGATCACCCCTAACCACTTACCTGCCCGTCTCATCGCCCCTAACCACTTCTGCCTCGGCCCCCGCTGCCTGGGCTTCGTCCGGAATGATGTCTGGAAGGTCGTTCTGCTGTCCGGTCTAATTAGCCTATTACACTTTTATTTTTATAGATAATACAGAAACCCAGTGCTTGAGCCTGATTAGAAAAAGTCAGCTCCATGCTGAAACCGGTTTGGCTCAATGGATAGAGCGTCGGCTTGGGGACTGAAGGGTCCCGGGTTCGATTCCGGTCAAGGGCATGTACCTTGGTTGCGGGCATATCCCCAGTAGGGGGTGTGCAAGAGGCAGCTGATCGATGACTCTCTCTCATCGATGTTTTTAACCCTCTATCTCTCTCCCTTCCTCTCTGTACAAAAATCAATCAAATAAAAAAATAAAAAAAGTTAGCTCCAACCTGGTTGCCCCTCCTCCACAGCATTATCCGCATGGTGTTCCCGAGACAGGTCCCCTTCTCACCCATGCTCCTCCCTGCAGGTATGCAGCGGGTAGCGGGCTCTCCCCATGGCTTCTGTCTTCTCTTGACTGCCATCTGCGCGCTGGCCCTCTTGCTATTACAGAGCATTCGCATAGGCGGCCCCCAGCGCTCCCTTATCTCCCAGTATCCCTTTCTGCCGAGCATTTTTCCTCGCGTCAGCAGCTCCGTGCTAAAGCATCCATCCAGCTTTGTGTGCCGGGGACAAGCTGATTAGAGCTGATTGTCAGCAGTGTGGCTTATGCAGCCCATTTATCTTCCTGGTTTGCTCACATTAGCATGGCCTAGAAAACGGGGAGCGATGCATCCTCCGAGGCGATAAGTTCCTAAACTCAAACGTCACACGCAGTGTTTCTGTGTTAGGGTTTTTTAAAAATCGACTGGAGAATGTACATCGAATCAGTCTTAAAAAAGAAAAAATGACAAAAAAATCAACTGGAGAGAGATTTGTTGTTCCACTCGTTCATACATTCATTGGTTGGTCCTTGGCTGTGCCCTGACTGGAGACTGAGCCCACAACCTTGGCATAGCAGGACAATGCTCTAACCAACGGAGCTACCCAGCTAGGGCACTATTTTTATTTATATATTACTAGAGGCCTGGTGCACAAAATGCATGCATGGGCGCCCAGCCTGCACCTTCTCCAATTTGGGACCCAGGGATCGAGCCTAAACTGGCAGTCAGACATACCTCTCACAATCCTAGAATGCTGGTTCCTAATCGCTCACTTGCCTGCCTGCCTGATCGCCCCTAACTACTCCCCCTGCCAGCCTGGTTGTCCCCAACTGCTCCCCCCTGCCAGTCTGGTCGCCCCTCACAGCCTCCTCCCACTCCCCCACGGGCCAGGTTGCCCCATGCAGCCTTCTGTTCAGTCATTTGGTTGCCCCTCACACCCCTGGTCGTAGGCTGCCACCTTGTGAGGATGTGAGGGTTAATTTGCATATTAACTCTATTATATAGGATTTCCCCCCCCCCAGGCAGGAAGGGAGAGGGAGAGAGATAGAAACATCAGTGATGAGAAAGAACCATTGATCGGCTGCCTCCTGCACACCCCCTACTGGGTGCCCTTGATTGGAATTGAACCTGGGACGGACCTTGCAGTCCGCAGGCCGATGCTCTATCCACTGGGCCACACCAGCCGGGGCTAGGGCCCTCTTTTCTTGTGATGTATACAGCAAAGCATCAGATTGGTAGATGAAGTAGCCATGCTGTCTCTTCCCTCAATGTATCCTCACAAATCAGGGCTGCTTGGGCCATTTGGTGAGCCAGGGATCTTTCCTTCCAGAGGAAGTAATCTGGTCCAGCCTGGGTGTCACAGAACCGGATGTCATTGGCCTAAACATCCGCAGAAGGGCGAGCTTTGGCGGTGTCCGGGTCAGTGTCGTTAGGATCCCCCTGTCTCTGACCTCCATACCCCTGCTGGCTGCGGACTGGCGTCGCGGCTGGATGAGATGATGACTCCTCGTAGGCGTCCCTGGACGGACAGACAGAGTGCAGATGGACCCCTGTGAGGACGCTGGGGTCCACGCCCTGTTACCAGCACCGCCGTGATGTTACCCATAATACCCTGTGGAGACTGACACTGCTGTCCCCCAGCGCTGTCTGACGTTGGGGAGAATGACTTTTTTTATTTTTTAATATATTTTATTGATTTTTTTACAGAGAGGAAGGGAGAGGGATAGAGAGTTAGAAACATCGATGAGAGAGAATCATCGATCAACTGCCTCCTGCACACCCCTCACTGGGGATGTGCCCGCAACCAAGGTACATGCCCTTGACCGGGATCGAACCTGGGACCCTTCAGTCCGCAGGCCGACGCTCTATCCATTGAGCCACACCAGGTAGGGCCTCACCCCTATTTTTAAAAACAAAGAGTTGGGCACTAGGTCTGAGTTTTCGAAGCCACCATGCAGGCCTCCCCTTGGCTGCCAGGTCAGCACGGGGCCCCTTTTGTCCCCAGAATTCTGGTTCGCTTTCCCAGGGGAGCCCTCGCGCTGAGTCAGGCGTCTCTAAAAGACACCGGTCATGTCCTAACCCGTTTGGCTCAGTGGTTAGAGCGCCGGCCTGCGGACTGAAAGGTCCTGGGTTCGATTCCGGTCAAGGGCATGTCCTTGGGTTGCGGGCACATCCCCAGTGGGAGGTGTGCAGGAGGCAGCTGGTGAATGTTTCTCTCTCATTGATGTTTCTGACTCTCTATACTCCTCCCTTCCTCTCTGTAAAAAATCAATAAAAAAAAATTAATAAATACATTAATTAATTAAATTAAATTAAATTAAAGACACCGGTCTGCCGAAACCGGTTTGGCTCAGTGGATAGAGCGTTGGCCTGCGGACTAAAAGGTCCCAGGTTCGATTCCGGTCAAGGGCATGTACCTTGGTTGCAGTCATATCCCCAGTGGGGGGGTGCAAGAGGCAGCTGATCGATGATTCTCTCTCATCGATGTCTCTAACTCTCTATTTCTCTCTCTTCCTCTCTGTAAAAAATCAATAAGATATAAAAAAATAAAAAATAAAAAAAAGACACCGGTCATAAGCCCAAGTTACACACACACACACACACACACACACACACACACACACCGGCTATTTCATACACAGGGTAACACAGAGAGGAAGGGCTGAGGCTTACACGGGGCCTCCCGCTCTAATGACCAGGGCCCCCTTATGGCTTCCTCGGAGCCGTTCAAAGTTGCCTGCTGCGTCTTGTGCAGCAGCACGCTGAGACCACATTCTCACGTCACAGCGGCAGTTTGCTTTCTGTTAACTCCCAGCCCATTAAGATGAAAAGGCGCTTCCTTCGGGGCTCCGGCCTGTTATTCTCGCCCCACGCTCTCATCACAAACAACATCCACCGAGCGCGCCATCCAACACTGAAGTGTCATTACGAGGCTGACCCAGGCGGCTGAGTGCCTGCACGCAGCTCCTCAGCCATTCAACTCCTCTTGCAATTCGCCTTTTATCTCACTACCTTTCCCCGAGACCTCAAAAACGCCTCTTAGGTGCCTGCACGTGTCCGTATATGTTCGATCCAGGGAAGTGGCAGGATGTTTAATTTTAAGAGCAGTTTGAAAGGAGGAAAAAAAAGAAATGGTTT